TAGGATCAGATGAAATCGATTCTCAACTTATCTCCTTTTACTTAGTAGAGGGAAATGAGTTGAATGTTGTGAGAACAATTCATTTTGTTCCACAAGTAGAAATCGACCCTAAGACTTATAAAGAAGCTATGGCTTCTCGTGATAGTACCTTTTGGAAAGATGCAATTAAGGACGAAATGAATTCGATAATATCCAATAATATTTGGGAACTTGTTAATTTACCATCGGGATCCAAGCCTATTGGATGCAAATGGGTATTTAGGAGATTATACGATGTTGATGGATCCTTAAATACCTTCAAAGCTGGATTAGTAACCAAAGAATATCGACAAAAGGAAGGAATCGGTTATTTTGATACTTATGCACGGGTAGCTAGAATAACATCGATTAGGATATTATTCGTTTTGGCTTCAATCTATAACTTGCATGTTCATCAAAGGATGTCAAGACGGCATTCTTAAATAGAGATCTCGATGAGAAGGTCTATATGGAACAACCCAAAGGGTTTGCCCTACCTAAAAATGAACATAAAGTGTGCAAGTTGGTGAAATCTTTATATGGTCTGAAACAAGTACCCAAGAAATGGCATGAGAAGTTTGACTTAGCAATAAAAAAATAACGGTTTAAACATAATAGCGTTGATAAATATTTATATTCAAAAGTATGTGATAATTATGGGATATTTCTATGCTTGTATGTTGACGACATGTTGATTATGAGTAATCACATGGACGGAATAGAAGAAACAAAAATGTTTCTTTCTTTCACATTCAAGATGAAGGATCTTGGACAAGTGGATACCATTTTAGGTATCAAAATCACAAAGACTAGTGGGGGTTACTATCTAAGTCAATCACATTATATTGAAAATGTGATAAATAAGTTCAAACATTTGAACATAAAGGAATGTGCTACCCCGATTAATCCAAGTTCAAAATTAATAAAGAATGATGGAATGCCGATTGCTCAATTGGAATATGCAAGTGCTATAGGGAGTCTTATGTATGTTGTTCAATGCACAAGATCAGATATAACTTGTACAATAAGTAAACTTAGTAGGTTTACTAGCAATCCGAGTAATGATCATAGGAATGCTATTGTTAGAGTTCTTGGATATTTAAAGAAAATCAAGAACTTAGGCCTACAATATACTAAATTCTCGGCTATATTGGAAGGATTTACTGATACTAGTTGAATATCTAGCACTGATGAAAGTAAATCCACTTCGGGTTGGGTATTCACTCTTGGAGGATGTGCTGTTTCTTGGAAATAAAAAAAAACAAACATGTATAGCGCACTCGACCATGGAATTTGAATTTGTAGCTTTATCGGATATCGGGAAAGAAGTTGGGTGGCTTAAGGATCTCTTATATGAGATACCTTTGGGATCGAAGAATATCTCTTCAATACCTATCATGTGTGATAGTCAAGCCACGTTAGCAAAGGCGTATAATGGAAAGTCTAGACATATGAGTCTGAGACATGACTATATAAGGAAATTAATCAAAGATAGAATAATTTCCCTAAATTATGTAAGGTCAATTGAGAATTTAGCGGATCATTTAACTAAAGCACTAAACAGAGATTTAGTGGCGTCTACTTCGAGTAGGATGGGGTTGAAACTCCTTAATTAAAAAAATCCACCAATGACGGTAATCCTACCCGTCATTACTCAAATGGTAATCCATGGGTTCAAAGGATAACAACAAGTCATTCGATATGTGGATAGTTGCAGCATTTTTTAAATCCGCTATGACCCTATCCTAATTAAATAATGTTGGTTGTTACTGAAGTGAGAGTTGAGCATTAAAACTCTTAATGAAGTTCAGTGTTAAAATACAAGTATCTCTAAAAGTAACAAAAATACTAGAAGAACTTCACCTAAGTGAACTTCAAGGTGGTGCCGCCTCAATAGAAAGTTGGAGTTTCTCTCTTAAAAGTTCATTGAATAGGATGAGCTCAAGACCATAATAATAGCTAAGCGAGTTGAGGAACTTAAGAACACGTGATACTTATGTATGTGTTCTTACCGGTATTGTCACAAGTAATAATTGGTTCAAAGCTTCCATGCTACCTCTAATTTCGACTTTACTTTGTTTGAATTACACTATGGTTAGATTCAAATCGAAAGATATCTAATCCTTATGCATAAGTGTCGTCTTTTTAAATATGTGATCGTATTGATTTTAAACAAGTAGGGGATTATTGAAAATTTGTTCAAAATCAATGGAATGACAATGGACTTATTGTTGGGCTCAATTGTGGAATTGGTATAATTAAAAGAAATTGAAAAATGTAAAATTTGATTTTTTGCCTATGCGTACACACATGCTTAATTTTGTGTGTACGCGAGATGTGTTTTGACAAAATTAGAATTAAATTTTGCTTCTACTATGTATACGCACGGTTTATACTATACGTACGCATAGTGTTAAAAAATAGTTGTTGGCTGATTTTTCAATTTGAAACTTGGGAGTCGTTTTGGATTAAAAATTGTCATTTTTCATCTTGTTTTGGCACCATTTCGTAATGCATTGATTGAAACCTATAAATAGATGATGAATGATAAATACAAAATGATTAGAATTATTGAAAACATTTTGAGATCCATATATCATTCCATATTGAATCAAACTATTGATTTACATTCATATTCAAGATCTTTCTTTGTGTTCTTAAAATTTTGGAGGATTGCACTTGTGTTTTGGTGTTAAATCATTTACAAGGCTTAATATAATCCTACAGACCGTTTGTCAAAACTCTTAAGCATCTCATTCAATCCTAAGAGGGGGCAAATATAGTTTGAGGACAACGATCCCGTGTTCAAGCCTCAAATTCGTTCTTGATGTATTTCATGATTTCTATTCATTTTGTTTCTATAATTTTTTTGTTGTTTCTTCTCCAACCCTTTCTTTTCCAACAGTTTAGAGTGTGAATTTGTTGATGGATCGTTTGTGGTATTTGGGACTGTGAGTTCCCAAGGAGAATGGCAATGAGTTCATCGTAACCAACCAAAATTTGAATGGGGATAAGAAAATTGAAAATGTAGTTAAGATGATCACACATTCCATAAAAATATGGTATATAATGGGTTGGGTCTGGGTCTAAATTAAAGTAGTGGTGTCAAAATAGGTCGGATGGCCCATGCTTGAGATGGAGTCACCATAAAAAGTATAGGACAATGTTACATATATCGAATTTTTTTACTGAATATTTTATCTACTATTCACAACAGAGGTGGAGACCACGGATCGTCATTTTTAAATTCACGTGGAGCCCGCCATACATTGTGACAGGAGAGACACCATTCGACAAACCCCCTCGATACATATATATTTATCCAAAAGTTTATCAATAGCAGCGTGGTCTAGTTCGGAATGATTCACGAGTTGGTCTGCTATAGTGAATGAGCCATGTCGATTTATTAGAAAGGTTAAATTTAAAAAGTCATTGCACCTATAAATATTCATTTCACTTTTACATTTTGTTCACATAATGCAACTATTATCATAAATTGTTTTTTTATTAATTTCAAAAACTATTTAACAATAATTTGAAAACACATCAATGATAATATTCTTTGTTATAATGACTGAGCCTGTTTGAGTCTCATTTTATTATTATTAGTTTTATTATTATTATTATGACCTAAAATGCATTTTGAAATAATATTTTGATAGAGAATATATGATTAAAAAATAAGAAAATATTTTGAACTTACGTGTAACACTATTTTACTGAAAAAGAATGTGTAATTAAAAATTAGAGAGAAAAAAATATATTTTGAAAATAATAGTTACCAAACAAGGGCTAATTTGAAATCATACTAATGTTTTGCAAAACAAATTACAAGCGCGCAACTGTCCTTTTCCCCCAGCACCCACCACCGACGGAATACAACTCACCCAAAGGAACTCAACCGTCTCCGACCAGCAGCTAAGTCAGTGCCACATTTCTCTCACCCACGTCAATTTTCAGTTTTATCATTTATGCTTTACACAGGTAGAACCGAAACTCGCCCCTATTTCACAAGTTTCTAAATAAAATTTGTTAAATTGTCGTTGCCCTAGATGATTGCAATTGTATTATATTAAATACTGTTGGTACATCACTATAAATTGATAAGTATTGTTAATGTAAACCTCAGTAAATTAATGTCCAATTCACTACAGATAGCTTCATTTTACTCTTAAAGTAGAGTCCTCACTAGCTGCCACACAACATTCTAGTCCCCTCGGTGTAAGTTGAAAATTCCTTAAAGAGTTGAAGCAGGCTTATCTGCATTTCCAAGGTTTTTGTCTTCCTTTCTTCTTCATATAGCTTTTTCTTGGACTATGGGCACAATGGCAGCACGTTGGCTCCGATGGCGAAGACAAAGAAATCGTGTTTAGACTTTTTCTTCAGTTGGCCAGAGATCTACTACAGGAGGTGTGGACGTCGGGCGTCAAAATCGGAAGAAGATTAATTGCGTCATGTGTTCGACTGCTAGGCAATTTATAACATAACGGGTTGGACAAGTTTAGCCTCAATATTGTGGGTTCATAAATCATAATTTGCCTTAGATTTGGGCCCTAATCCATTCCTCCGCGCTATTGCTATAGCTTAGGTAGGGCTCTTCATGCTTCCTTCCCCGATACTCCAACATTTTCCTATCCATCGTTGTAGATGTTCGCCTGGTTATCCAAGAAATCCAAGATGCATAAGTCTGCTCCTCAATAAAAGCTATCCCCAAGAAGGTCCTAGCTAGCTAAGCCCGGACAATATTTTTAGACGGATCTACAAGCCTTAATCAGATCTAAACAAGGCAGTCGGGGCTGGCCCAATCATTTTTACAACTCTAACTAGGCCCCTATTTGGTTTCAACTTTTTAAGAATTATTTTTTCCCCCAATCTCATTTTCAACCACACATTTTATAGGATCCAAAACTTTTATCAACTTTTCAATCACATATTTTATCAGCTTTTATCAGAATATGCTAAAAATCAAACCAAACATAGGCTGGATATGTAAAACCACTCCATCTTAGCCAGTCTTTGTAAAGCCTACAATACATTTGGGCTCGTGTTGTGTAGAACACAAGATCCATCGATTTCTTAGGGTTAATTACACCAGTATTCATTGAATTGAATCTTAAAAAATGGTAGAATTCTCTATAAGAAACATTTACAGTAGTTGCATGCCTGGCCTGCTTTGACATAACCACCAGCAATACTCTAGGCCTACCTTTTTCGACAAATCGTCATGCCATCCCCAATTGAAACCTACAATATATCGATAAAGTAAATGATAGAAGCTTGCTTATTCAAACTTTGTGTATGGAAAGGAAAAACTCATTTACGTACCATACTAATGCTTACACGCTCATCATCCATCAATTTTTTATTGAAATTTCTTATACTATCAGTTTTCGGATCATTTACCTGTCCAGAAGTACCAGTCAGACGCAAACAATATACGTAAAATTGGAATGAGTTAAGTTTATGTTTACCAGTGGATCAGCAACTTTTCCATGCCAAAGGACATTGTCAATAACTATAATACCTCCAACTCTCACCTGTAAGATGGGACAAATCAAAACTCGATATTCAAAACTTAGAGCAGTAATATCATGCGTTGCATGTATATAGACAAGCTAATTCGGTACTGTATTACTAACCAGTTGCAGCAGCAATTCAAAATAATCTGAATACATTCTCTTCTCGGCATCTACAAAAGCAAAATCATAGCTACATAGACGAGTAAACACGCAATGAGACTGATTTCATTTACATTCTCTTCTTGGCATCTACGAAAGTAAAATCATAGCTACATAGACGAGTAAACACACAATGAGACTGATTTCATTTTTATTAGACTTACAATAGCAGAAATATCCAGAGAAAATCTGTGTTACCATTTTGAGTTTGCGTGGGCATGGAATTATAGAGCTAAAAAATACCATTTTTGGGCAATTGTGTCAAAGATAAATGTAGAGTTATACTAGTGATAATAGGTCATATCTGCCACAAAAATCACATATGATCCATTTGATAATGCATGATTGCAACTAAATGCAGGTTTTTGAAAATATGATTAAGATTTAAACCAAGAAAAGGTTTTTCAATTATATCAAAATAGATTGAAGTAATAGCTTCAAGTGCTTCATGATTTAAAACCTGTAAACATTGGCTGCAAGGACCGGGATGCAGTGATTTAGAACGTCAATAATGGCATTAATATATCTTCCACGAACAAAAAATACCTGCAATCTTCACCATTATGAAGCATAGACTTCAGAGTATCAGCTGCAAGACCATGTTTCACATCTATCTGAATAATTTATATCAGTACAAGAAAAAAATTACGAACATAAGAAAGATTTCATAAAAAGTCATGATAAAATCACTATTTGATATACAATTTACTGCAGTCCTGGTTGAGTGAAACAAAACGCAGAAAAGAAATTTTAAACTACAATGGGAAGGGAAAAATAAAAGAATTGACCACTTACTGTAGTGCAGAAATTTTGCAAGTTCCTATAATGCATAGTCATGATTTTCTTTCATTCTTCTTTCGAAAGCCTAGGAAGTACGTTTGATGGATTGCAACTACTAAGGCAATAAAAGATGCTCGATTATATATGATCAATTATTTAATAATTTAGAGTCATAACCATATCGTTTAAGGTTCTCGGCTTAATCAAGAAACTTCTCATATTGAGATCAAGAGTAGGACCTGTACGAGAGACATTTAGAGAACTTCTACCTAGAACATACCTTATGTGAAACACCAGCACGGTCATAATACCTCTTTGCAACCTCAAGTGATATTGCATCTCTCTCACATGCAACCAGACAACCTCCTTCTGGTAGGACCAGAGCAATGGCCAATGAAGAGTATCCCTGCGAACAATAAGAATGGTTCAGAGTATTCCACGCACTATGCACTTTTAAGAAAAGCAAACATTAGATCAGAGCACTGCTTATAAGCATTAGAATGAATTAACAGAAATAATACCATATATTGTGAATGTAGCACACAATCATACAACCCGGGGGGGGG